CTCCACAAATACTCAATTTATTCTCCTTGTTTCTTCTCATTTGTTGAACCCCCAGCCAATGCTTTTTATTTGTTTTCTTACATCATTATTCATTTTCATACAATATTTGATTTCTCCCCTGAGGTGTAGTCCCCATAAATCTCCCATCACCATGGCACCCATTGCCATAGTCCCTTGTGCTTTTTTCTTCCCCTGTTTTGACTCCTCTCCCTCCTCCTTGCCTGCTGTATGCCTCAAATCCGTGGTTTGCTTGCAAGTTTTGTCTTTTTTCTGATCCTTTGTTCTCTTTCCCTATATTTCCCCTGTAAGTGAGACCATCTGATATTTTTCTTTTCACCTCTGAGTTACTTTGCTTAGCATAACCTCTTCCAGCTTCATCCATGTTGCTGCAAATGGCCTTAGTTTATCCTTTTTAAATGCTGGGTAATATGCTATTGTGTGTGTGTGTGTGTATATATATATATATATATATATATATATATACACACCACATCTTCATCCATTCATCTGTTTGGGGCCATTTAGGTTGTTTCCATATCTTAGCTATTGTAAATAGTGCTCAATGCTGTATGTTTTAAGTTTGAGATGTGTATTACCCACACTTCCACTTCTTTTTAAAAAAATATTTATTTTTTATTATTTTTAAAATTTTACATATTTTTTACATCATTTTTCATTTTTGTACAATGAATGCATTTTCATCTTGGTTATGGTCTCCATATAATTCCCATCCCCCCTTGTTTTGATCATACTCCCTCCTTCCCCCCCCCCCCCCGAAGTGTGTCTCTGGTTTGTAGTTATTGATTTTGATTTTTACTTTATTAGTCTTTTTCCTGGTCCCTTATTTAGGTTTTCTAGATTCCTGCTATGAGTGAGACCATCCGGTATTTTTCTTTTTCTTTCTGGCTTATTTCACTGAGCAGATTCCTTCCAGCTCCATCCATGTTGCTGCAAATTGCATGAGTTTACCTTTTTTTGATTGCTAAGTAATATTTCATTGTGTATATGTACCACATCTTCTTGATCCAGTCATCTATTTGTGGGCATTTGGGTTGTTTCCATAGCTTACCTATTGTAAATAGTGCTGCTGTAAACATAGGGGTGCAGGTGCCCTTTTGAATTAATATTTCTGTGTCCTTTGGATAAATACTTAGGAGTGGAATTGCTGGATTGTATGTATGGAAGCTCCATCTTTAGCAGGTTGAGGAATCTCCACACAGCTTTCCATAGTGATTGGACCAGTTTGCACTCCCACCAACAGTGCAGGAGAGTTTCCTTTTCTTCACATCCTTGCCAACATTTGTTGCTAGTTTTTTTAATATGCCATTCTCATTGGTGTAAGATGGTGTCTCATTGTAGTTTTGACTTGCATTTCCCTGATTACAGACACTTCCATTTCTATTGCTTCATATCAAACTACTATAACATTTACTGACTTCAAACAAGAATTATTATTTCTCACAATTCATGAGTTTGCTGCATTTAACTAGGCAGTATCCATATTTGATGTCATGTTGACTAAGGTCATTTATGTGGCTGCATTCGGCTGTGATCTCAGCTGAAGCAGGTAATTTTTCTCCTATCTTTGAAGTTCCTTCATTCATTAGACTAACCAAAGCTTGGTTACATGGTGGCACAGGCCCGATTAGACAAAAGCAAAAGCAAGTAAGCTTGTTATAGACTTGGACTGGAGATTCCTGAAGTTTTTTCACCACAGTCTATGAGGAAATCATAAGACTAACCCATATTTAAAGGGGAGGAGTAACACTGAGTAGGAGAAATTGTTGTAGACCATTTACAAAAATAATCTAACTATATTCAACTTTTGCAAATGTGGTCCAATGATAAAGTCATACTCATTTTCTATTGCTAATTATACCAGATAGATTTTCATAAATAACAAATTAATATAACATTTAGTGTTTTAAAAGAACCAGGTAATCTTTGTGTCTCCTACTGGCTCCATAAATATTCTCTTTGGGCAGGTTTAGATTGGGTTGGATGGTCTAAGATAGCTTTAGTTACATGTGTAAGGTCCCATCTGTGTCATCCCCAAATGGGAACTCTTTCTAGTTATTAATTTTCCAGGAGGCTAGCCTTAGGTAGCTTACAGAGGATTTTCAGTAACAATAGAGTGGAAAAGGCTTGGAAGACCTCTTGAGGCCTAAGTGCAAACCTCAGATAATACCATTTGCACTGTATCCTATTGGCCAAAGCAAGTCACAGGTCAGCTCAGTGTCAAGGAGTGAGGAGATAGACTCCACCACTTGATAATAGCATCACAAAGAATTTATGGTCATTTGTAATCTACCATAGTGGGATGTATATTCTCGTTCTCTTTCTTTCCCTTTTCCTCTTGTTATAAAATTCAACTATTTGAATTTTATAAAATCCATATTTGTTTTACTATTTTAATTCTCTCTATATTTATTAGTTAGAAAATAGACTTGGTTGTTATATAAGAGACCCCTTATGTTTCAGGGGACAGAGAGAGAAATAATTAGAAAGAAATCATTAGAACTCTGATGGATGCAATCATAGCCATAAATGAAGGTCTGATAAGACTTAAAAAATAGGGCTTCCCTGGTGGCGCAAGGGGTTAATCACCACACTATGAAGCAATCCTCAGCCTCAGCAGCACGAGTTTGATCCCCGGCCAGGGAGAAACCCACATGGTGCAGCAGACTTTTCCTGACTTGCCCACTGCTCCCCTCAGCAGTGTATTTCAGCCAGTTTACCTGTTCTGTTCCCCACTCTGTCTCTGGTGGATCTTCTCACCTCTACCCCCCCGCCCCGCATCTCTGGCCTGTACCCCAGCTCTTGCATGCATAAATAAATAAATCTTTTAAAAAAAACAAAAAAGACTTTAAAAATATAATTTTAAACTAAAAAAATTTGAGAGGAAATTAAAAGGTTTTGAAAGTCTACTTCTGAGAATAGAAGTAAAGGTATTATATAGTAAGTAGAATAAATATCTCATAGTGCAGAAAAAATACAAGCTGAAAAACTGAGGTGGCCAGAGGGGGAAGGAGAGGGGTGAGAACAGGATTCGGAGGGAGCACAATGGACTATGGTGGGAGGACTGTGGGTGCTTGTGTGATGCGTGTATTATGATGACTACACCTGGAAGGGGAATAGCTTACATTTCCACAACACTGCCAATGCTGTAAACCAATACTTCAATAAAAATCAAAACAAAATAAATTGAAACCAATACTAAAAAGATAAAGAATAGGTCTATGAGTCATAATATTTAACCATTAGAGATACTAGAAAGAAGAAAAATAGTGATGAAGGAAATAGGGAAATAAAACTTCTCAGTTAAGTTAAAAAAACGTTTTAGACATGGTAAAATTTCTACGCTTCATTGACAAATGAGAGAAGTAAAGAAGAAAATGTCAAACTATTATACCTTCCTGAAATCATCAACCCAAACTTTTGGAGAAAACTAATATTCTATCTGGTTTAAACCTTTGAAATGGTTTATGAATTTCATTTCGTCTCATCTCATCTCATCTCATTTCATTTTACACAATCACTGGGTACAGTCAGAAGCACAGGAGGGTGAGAGGATTCACCAGAGCCAGAGTGGGGAGCAGAACAGCAGATTGACGAAATACACTGCTGAGGGGAGCAGCAGGCGCTGCAGGAGAGGTCTGCGCGCCATGTGGGAACCTCACTAGTGGCTGGGGATCCAAGCAGTGCTGCGGAGGCTGCGGGCAGCTTTGCAGCCCAGCGCTTAACCACTGTGCCACCGGGGATACCCAATGGTTTATGAATTTCCTGGGCCTTTTTATGGATGTGTGTTTCAGTAGCATCTCAAAGTTCATATTGAAGACCTTTTGGAATGGTCTTGTCCCTACTAGTACTTGTTCTTGTTTTTTATAAGTGCCTTGTCCTCTAAAATTTCAATGAGAATAAAAATATAGATTTAAAATTTTGTTTCTTAAAATAACTTTCAGAAAAAGGAACATTTGTTTTAAATTTTAATGATTTTTTTCCATTTTTATTTGGCATTCTTTTTTTTTCTGATGTGAAGCAGTCACTCAAATCATCCATTCCCTGTCCATAATTTGTCTACTTTCAAATTTTTCTCCTTTTAATAGGGTTTTAAACAGTTTGACTAATGTATATGGCAAGATTTTCTTTACATACATCAATTTGCAGTTTGCTGAGTACCCTGAATGTGTAAATTTTACAAATTTTGGGAAATTTTCCAATTTTTTTCTAACACATATTCTCTTTTCCTTAATGGAAAACAAACATATTAGATACTTGATATCCAGATGTTCCTCAATCTCACTTAATGTTTTTCAATCTTTGGATATTTTTCATTGATCTATCTTCAAATGCTCTGAATTTTTCCACTCTCATATTCAATCTACTCCTGGGCTCCCCCATTGCATTATTAAATTCAGATATTTTATTTTTCTCTACTAGAATTTCATTTTCACCATTTTTTCGTAGTTTGTATTGCTCTGCTGATAGTTCCTTAATTTCATTCACTATTAGCATATTTTCAGTAAAGCACTCATCTGTCTAATTCTACAATTTGGACTATTTTGGGATTATTCTCTGAATAATTTTTATGACTATCTGAATCATTCTCTGTATATTATCTTAGAGGATATCTTATTTTCCTGTTTTTTCAAATGTCAAGTAATTCTGAATTGAATCCAGGTTACTGCAAAAGTCATGTAGAATCACTGGATTCCATTGTACTTCTGATGACTGGTACTATTTTTGTATATTTTGCTTTACTATGTAGTTAACACTATTGGATACAAAAAGAAAAATCTGTATTTAGGCAGCAACTCAAATTGCATTTCAGTTCTTTTAGCTTTTTCTGGACTGATTTCTGTCTTTCAAATGTGTGTGTGACTTGGGGATTAGGGAGGGATTTGGGCAGAGTTAATGATTTTGTTTATTTTGCTTTATGAAATAATTAACATGGCTGAATACAAAATAAAAATTCTTTCCCCCCTTCTATTACATCTCAGCAAGCAGCATATGAGTTGGCAATTCAGAACAAATTCCTTCACGAAAAGCTGAAGCAAGCTTTACAGGTAAAGAATATCATATTCTTTGAAAATTGTTGATGAATGAAGGAAATGTCCATACAAAAAATTTTGATTAATTTTTGTCCTTGTAAATGAATAGGTCTATATATTGTATTATTTTGCCAGATTTAAAATATATTCATCTTATGCAATTAGATGAATATATTAATAGAATTTAATATCCATTCTTTTCCAAAAGAGTAATCTAGGAACAAAAGTAACTTGCCTCATCAAACAAAAGAAATCTTTGAATCTGAGAGACAATATTATATGTAAAAGAAAAATCCTACAGGCATTCTGTATAGTAAAACTCCATTAAACTAGGCTCCTACAGCTCTTTTTCAAATTTTGCCTCAATGATAAAACAAGAAATCAAGTGACAAACATTTTGATAAATAGACAAAAGTGTAATTATTTGTATAGTAGTTTTCTTTTTGAAAAAGGCAAGATAATACACAAATTAATGATGTAGCTCAAAAAAGTGGCTGCAGGAAAATACACACAGAAAAACATGGATTTCCTTTTTATCAAAAATAGTCATTTAGAAAATATAATAAAAAACTCTCTGTATTAGAATAGCATATTTAACGGAAATATGCAGTTTAATATTAAGAAAAATATGCTTTACTGTGGGAAATAGATGAACAGTGAAGAAACAAAAATCTTTATTTTTGGCTTTGAAGCCTCAATATTATGTATATTTCACTTTTTCCATTTTCTCCAAATTGACATCCAAACTTAAAACAATTTATTTCTAGATAGAAATAGAATTACTTTTGAGATTGATGGCAAAATTATAGAATATATTGACATAAGAAACTGAGTGACTGTACAAATGAAAAATTATGGGTTTGCTCCTCCAAAAATCAACATATAATGTAAAACTATAATAACTAAAGCAATTTGATTCAGGTTTTGGTGAAAATTCCAGCAATAGATTCAAGTGAAAATAACAAGTTTAGCTTTCAAAATTTTTCATAGATGGGTAAAATAGTCACGAAAAGTAAACTTTTAGGAAAAATAGATCTCTGTATCATATAATATTCCAAAATAAGTTGCAGATTAAGAACCTAAAGTAATACATGAACTATGATGATGTTAGAAGACACAGTATGGAAGCATTATATAGTGGTGGCGAGAGCAAGGTTTTCTAGGTATTATCCCACAAAGGAATGTGCTGTTATATATGGCTTTGTATTTCAAACTACTTTTATGGTACAGAATCACACAAAGATAAATGCTTTACAAGGTATTTTATGTAAATATCTTTTACAAATCTTCAAGAAATGTATAGCTCCCTCAGAATAGATGAAGGACACAAACAGGTGAGTCAGAAATTAGAAACACACATGGCAAATAAATACATACAAATATATTTTCACACAAATTATCAAATAAATGCAATTTAAAACAGCAGTGGGATAATTTTTTTTTAACTTATACTGTTAAAAATTTAAGTAACGGGCCTCCCCGGTGGCGCAGCGGTTGAGCGCTGGGTTGCGAAGCTGCCCGCGGCCTCTGCGGCGCCGGTTCCATCCCCGGCTGCTCCCCGGCCACCGGAGGAGGGTCCCACATGGTGCGCAGACCTCTCCTGCCACCCGCTGCTCCCCTCAGCAGTGTACGTCAGTCCTTCTGCCTGCTCTGCTCCCCACTCTGGCTCTGGTGAATTCTCTCACCCTCCCGCGCTTCTGACTGTACCCAGTGCTTGTATAAACAAAACAAACAAACAAACAAAATAAATAAATAAAAATTTAAGTAACACAAATATCTATTTTTGTGGATGTTTGTTGAAATGAATAATCTTTCACATGCTTCTATTATCAATATAAATTGATACTTTTCTGAGGAAAGTATATAGTAAAAATCTTGAGGGATTTTTCATTGAAGCATTTCACTTCTAAAAATTTATTGTAAAGAGAAAATGTATGGAGATTTTGTGCAAATATGTATAATTTTTTTTTAATTAAACAAGCTTTTTTTTAAAGATTTATTTATTTGTGCATGCAAGAGCTGGGGTACAGGCCAGAGATGCGGGGGGTGGGGTGAGAGGACTCACCAGAGACAGAGCAGGGAGCAGAACAGGAAGACTTACTGAAATACACTGCTGAGGGGAGCAGCAGGAGAGACAGGAGAGGTCTGCTGCGCCATGTGGGTTTCTCCCTGGCTGGCTGGGGATCAAACTTATGCTGCAGAGGCTGAGGATTGCTTCATAGTGTGGTGCTTAACCCCTTGTGCCATCAGGGAGGTCTGTATAATATAAAATTTTTAATTGCAAACATTTTAAGGTAACCTATATCCACTGATAATAAATTTGCTAAATAATGTTAAATGTACCTCTGTTAAATGTACCTTCAGATTTAGATTTATATTCATTGTCATGTAAACACATCTATGATATTATTAGACAAAAAAGGCTTGTTTTGTGATTATGCATGATATCACCAAGCTAGATAAAAATTTAAAAATACACATGTCTAGTTATATTAAGAAATAATTTAAAAGGATATACAGCAGATTTTTAACAGTGAGTTTTCTATTCGGGATAACATTATTTGTGAACCTTCTTTTCCTTGAACTATATGTGCTTTCTGACTAAATAAAATATAATATAAAAGTAACATTTTAATGAAATTTTCAATCTAGAAGAAATTACTTTCCATATTTTCTCTTATTATTTGGCATTATGTGTGTTAATTATCCTGGTCACACTCTATCACTTTAACAGCTTTTATTGTGCCTGTATAATGATTAGAGCCTTAAAAAATTAAAACCTAGAGAATATCCTGTGTATAAAAGTAACCTTAAAAAACAAATTTCTGGGCCTCCCCGGTGGCGCATGTGCCGCGCGGGTTCAATCCGGCCGGCCAGCAAGGGTACCAAATGGTGCGGCAGACCTCTCCTGTCTGCTCTGCTCAGCAGTGTATTTTGTCTGTCTACCTGTTCTGTTTCCCTCTCTGTCTTTGGTGAATCCTCTCACCACCCCGTGCATCTGGCCTGTACCCCGGTTCTTGTATAAATAAATAAGTAAATCTAAAAAAAAAAACCCAGAAATTTCTTCGTAGTTTTAATTTATTTGGGATCTGTTAAACTGTGGATTAGACCAGTGGTTTAATTTAGCTTTCTCTAACATAGTAAAAATAAAAGTTAAGAAGTAATGTAGTTAAAAACATAAGCAGATTTCAGAAAGTTGTAAGATTAGCAGGAAGATGTCACAGAAATAACATTTGATAAATGATTACATTTTAAAATAGGAAGCTGAAAGAGCAAAGAATCAACTTTCCTACTTCCTAAATGAAGGGAGGGATTTACTTAAAAGTGAAGGAAAGCACAAAGCAACCCAGGAATGGAAGAGTATTGGTAAAATTCAAGTAGAAGATTCAGAAAAAACACCGTTGGAGGAAGAAACAATAGAAGCCCTAGTTACAGATTTAGGAGGACTAAAGACAAATGATACACTCCAGGAACAGCAACAGGTAAGGAACCAACCAAATTAGAGACAGTTATATGTGCTGTTGGAAGTTTATTTTTATATTATTATTTACTTAATATATATTACTTTTAAAATTTCTCTATGCTTTTGTGGGTTTTTTTTGGTTGACCTTTAGTCTTTTACCTTCTGTGTATGTCAATTCATTAATATCTTGAATACAAATCTATAAATATGTATTGATTTTGAATAACTTAGCATTTGGAATTTGAGAGCCAAAAATATTTCGAAACTAAAGATATTTTGCTACAAATTAATGAAATTAAATATAAATGCAAACGATGGGTAAAAACTCCCGAACAATAATTTTTGTTTCTGTTGCACAAAGAAACTTGTCAATTTTGCTCAGATTTGTTGTTTGTTATTCCTCAGTAGAGAAAAGCAGTCCACAAACAAGAAACTCTATATTTTATATCATTTTTGGTAGTGTGTATTTTTGCTAATCATTTACACAATAATACAATTATATCTGTCTTTTTCTAGCAGTATAGCTATTGCCAGGTCCCTCGTTTCTTTAATAGAAATTTATATTCTTTAGTGTTTTCCATTTTGCTTTCAGACTTTGGGTTTATGCATATTAAAGATAGCAGAGCAAACTTAGCAAAAGGTAAAGTTAAAAAAAGGTAAAACTGAACCAAAGACCCAATATTCTACCTTTAAAACAATATGAGACTATCACATTGTATTTTCAAACATACTTTTGCTTTTTCTTTTCTATATAATTGTAATTGTGAAGTGCCTCAATTTCTTTCTGGAAAGAGGAACACTGAAGAAAATTGCTCTGAGGGGAAAAAAAACTATTAGTCTTTTTGTGTTGAAGTAAATACAAAACCAAATATATCTAGAAATGTAGGTTACTCTGAGTTGACTCAAGACAAAGGTAAAGGAAACAACACAATTTAAAATAATTATTTTATATCTGCTATTATTATAAAATATCCTAGTCATTTTATATAAATTTGTGTAGCCATTTACAAAATTTCTGTAAAATAACTATTAACACCCCCATTTCCAAGGTGAAGTTGAAGCCTAAACAAACTAAGCAAACTCTTCTTTGATTTCTTCGTTGATCCAAGTGTTGTTCGAAGCATTCTGTTTAGTCACCACATGTTTTGGCTTGTTCTAGGATTCCTTTTATGATTAATTTCTAGCTTTATATAGCCTTGCAGTCTGTGAAGGTGGTTGATAAAATTTCTGTCTTTGTATATTTTCTGAGACTTGTTTTATGTCCTAGTATATTATCTATTCTTGAAAATGTTCCATGTGCACTGGAGAAGAAAGTGTATTCATTGCTTTTAGAATGGAAAACTCTGTAAATGTCCAGTAAATCCTTCTGATCTATACTTCATTTAAGACCTTTATTTATTTGTTAATTTTCTGTCTGGATAATCAGTGGTGTGATATGTCAGTGACGTGTTAAAATCTCCAACAACAAATGTGGGTTTGTTTTTTTCTTTGCTATATTGTTTTAGGTCTGTTAATAGTTGCTTTACATAGTGAAGTATTCCTCTATTTGGATCATAGATATTAATAAGAGTTATATATTCTTGGTTAATTGTTCCTTTGATCATTAGATTGTATCCATCTTTGACACTGATTACCTTTTTCGTTGAAAGTCTAGTTTATTGAATATAATAACAGTTCTTGATTTACTCTCTCTGTTATTGGCATGTGTGACATTATTACAGCCTGTTATTTTAAATTTGTTTTTATCTTTTGGTTTTAAATTGGTCTGTTGTAAACAAAGTATTCATCTGGAATTTTTTTCACCCACATTGTTAGCCTATATCCTTTTATTGATGAATTCAGAGGCCATTCACATTTAAGGTGATTGTGATATGAATTGTTTATTTTCAGTAATTTTGGCTGTTTTTCTTTTGTTTCTTTTGTAAAGTTTTATTTTGTTTTTATAGTTTAAGGACTTTTTTTCTTACATCATTGTTAATTTTTGGACAGTCTATTGTTTCTCTCCTCTTTCATTTCTCTCTAGTCTTCCTGAATGGCTTTCCTTGGTATTTCATCAATTTCTTTGCTTCTTTGTCTGTGGGAGTCTATTCTGGGTTTTTGGTTCATGTTCACCATGGGGGGTTTTACTTTAATTCCCGTGTTTTTTAGGTCCTTTATTTGCTGGCGTCTGCTCTCTGACATTTAACTGTACCTATTCTATCCATTTCTTCCTTTCCCTTATTATTTGGGGTTGTTAGCTCATATTTTTCTTGCTCTTGGTTGTATTGGTGTTACATTGCTCTTGTAATTTTGCTAAGGAGTTTGTGCTTCAGTTTTTCTTTTTTTGTGAAGAAACTTCTTTTTGTATTAGAAATTTCTTTTTGTGGGTCTGGTGATGGCAAACTCCATTAACTTCCGTTTGAGAAGATCTTTATTACCCCCTCATACATAATTGATAATTTTGCAGGATAGTGAATTCTTGGCTGTCAGTTCTTGTTTCTTCTTGCCTGGAGAGAGTCTGGACTGAAATCCAAATTTGGAATTCATTATAATTTATTTATTTATTTATTTTTACTTGCTCCCTGCAAATTTTTCCTTTATCTTTAATTTTTGTAGTTTGACAATGATGTGTCTAGGTGTTGATCTTTTTTGCATTTAGGAATTTAGATGTTCTCTCCTCTGCTTGCTGGCCTTCCATATTTAATTCATTTTGTAGATTTTTGAAGTTCTCATTTATTATTTTTTGGAATAGGGTTTCTCATCCTATTTCCTTTTCTTTCTCTTCTGAGACTCTAATCATTTGTAGGTTTCTTCTTTAATTTAAGCTGATATTTCTTATAGAGTTTCTTCATATTTCCTTTGTCCTGAATCTCTCTCTTCTAGATGTGTAATTAGTTTGAGGCTTTTACAGCTGAAATTCTTCTGCCATTTTGATTCTATTTAATGTACTTTCTAAGTTTGTCTGCATTTCATTCAGAATCTCTTTTTGTGGTCTTTTTATATAGTCAAAGTCTTTGGTGAAGAATTCTCTTTGTTTCCAGATTTCCTTTCTGAGATTTTGTGCCTGCCTACCTGCCTGTGACTGACCTTCCAGTATTGCATTTAGCATTTCTAATATTGTTGTTTTGAAGTTGTCATCAGATAGTTTCTCTATTTGTCTCCTTTATATTTGTCCCAGAACTTTTGTCCTTCTCATTTTGTTTTTCCATCTTATGTTGGAATGTTACTTGCATCCTAGGTGTGTATATTACCTTATTTATAGATATTTGTGTGTTGGGGGTAGAGGTTCTGGGCATTTAGCTTTGTTTTTTTTCTTAGTTTACCTTGGCATGAGGTAGAGGTAAGAGGGGGGTTTGGGGCTTTAATTATAAATCTTATTTTGAGCAGTGATATTAGTTATCTTTATCTCTTCAGTTACTCTTTAGCAAGCTATATTCTGTGTTTAGTTTGTCTTCACTTTCCATATCACCTCCTGCTGTTCCTTTCTGCCAAGGGTGATGACCTGTGAAGCTTGGGTTTCCCAGTAGGAAAAGCAAGGTCTGGGCCACCAGGCTCATAATATGTACTGATTTGCACTGGCCCAAAGGTTGCAGTGTATGTGTGGTGGGCACATATGTGCTGACTTACATTATGGTTGGCCATGATGACCATCTCTGCCCTGCCCCTGCCTCTGTTGCTGCTTCTGCAGGGCTAATGTATATACATGCCCTTTGTTTACTTTCCCAGAGTCCTTTTTTCTGCTGTTGGGCTTTTTATGGAATGTAGACTTGGTCAGCCTGGCTTCTCATTGATCTCTTCCTCGAGAGAGAAGAGGAGGGAGCTTTTGTTGCTCATACCATCCTAATTGTGAAGTTCTCAATTTCTTGGACCTATGTCTGCAGAGTTCCCACTGCCTCAGGATGGGTCTTTGTCTCTTGCGTATCTGCAACGTTTCTTCAGGGAATTTCACAATGTCCTGTGTTTCCCCTGTCATGGTGTGGGAGGTTGACCCTCAGTCCAGACAGCTACCTTTTGCTTCCTCCAGTTCTTTCCTTTTTGTGGTTACCAATCTTAGTTCTCTAATTTCGTGGGACTGTATCTTTGAAATGAGGTGTCTGGATCTACTTTTGAGCAAATACTACTTTTTTATAGTCATTTTTAAGAAAGGGGATAATCCCAACCTCTCTGTTTAGCAGTATTAGCATACTTATTTTTTTTTTCCAAGTGCACATGGGACATTTTAAAAAATATACCACACATGGGGACACACCTCAATTGTCAATAAATATACAAAGATGAAGATAAATAGATAAATATACAAAGGTAAAGATTATAGATTATATTATATTTATCTATAAATAGATAAATATACAAAGATAAAGATTATACCTGTTACTCTTTCTGACCATAATGCTATAAAGTTAGAATTCAACTATAAGAACAAGTATAAAGACATGGGGAATAAACAATATGCTACTTAATATAGTTACAGGCTAAATGAGGAACTTGAAGCTGAAGTCAAAAATAACCTTGAGAGGAATGAAAATAATACAAGCTATCAAAATATTTGGGAGGCGAAAATACCCTGGCAATTGACCCCAGCCCAGAAGAGATTCTTGGCGAGATCCCAACACCATTCCGGACCCACAAGGCTCCAGTTGTTGTGCCCACCACACAGTAAATGCTCAGAGGGAAGCCCCAACTACAATAGAGCAAATCTGAAAACAAACAAGGGGGAGGAAAGACAAAGACAAATGGCCAATACACTACAGAGAGAAAACAAATCTCCAGAACCCAACCACAAAGATATAGAAGAACTTCCAGAAAATTAATGAACACATCATTTCATAACATATAGAGGCATATGTCTTTCTCATAGAGCTTATCATGTTCATTTCTTTATAGTGTATATAAAGAAGATGTCAAAAATATACAAACCTAATCCTGGAAGTGGTAGCCCATCACGTTTGCTATATCCTATTCATTAGAAGTAGAATTAGTCACCAGAGCAACCCCACACACAAGGGAAGAGATAATATTAGTGTGAATATACCACGGAGACAGGGATCATTGAGAACCATTTTAGGGGCTACCTACTACAAGTATGAGATTGTGAAAAACTTCTAAATTTAATGCTAAATTAAGCAATTTGGACTTCAATTTTCAGAAAAGTAAAGCTACTCAAGGTTTTTGTATAAAGAGCAACATGTAAGATCTAAGTTAAAAAAAATAGCTGCGCATTAGTGAGGCAGATTGATTCTACATTCTTTTGACCCTACCTTACTAAGATTATATCTATTAAACTACAAATGTATTTCTTTGTTCACATGGCTCTGTTTGACTGTGGTGCTATGATATTGCTAACATCAAGAGAGTGCTTTCTCAAATGAAGGGGGAAAACTCCAGGGTAGTTGGTCCTGAGTTTCAGAGACATACCAGCATATCACCCTGTGCTAGTGGGAACAGAAATTCAAAATCTAAAAGGAGTGAAAGAAAAATGTTTGGAACTCTTAATATTGGAACTAGATTGCATTAAACAAAATGTCTGTCATATATACATCTTAATACCCTGTTTGAGAAATGGTTCCTTTTTGGTTCTGTACCTGTTTTAAAAGTTGTTTGTTGCATTAATAGTCTTTGTGTTAGTGGGCCTCTCCGGGGGCACAGCAGATTGAGTGCAGAGCTGTGAAGCTGTCCGCAGCCTCTGCAGCTCAGGTTCGATTGCCAGCGGGCCAGGGAGATACCCACATGTTAACAGACGTCTCCTGCCTCTCTCACTGCTCCCCTCAGCAGTGTTTTCAGTCTGTCTGCCTGTTCTGCTCCCTGCTCTATCTCTGGTGAATTCTCTCATCCTGCCGCGCCGATGGCCTGTACCCCAGTTCTTATATAAATAAATCAATCTTTAAAAAAACAGTCTTTGTGTCAGAAACTAGACATTACTTTCATGAAGCCCTTAATTAGTGGAGGGTATTACTTTATAAAAATTCTATGAGATATTTATGAACTTTTGTATATTATGAAGCACTATTTGAATGTCACGCTGCATCATCATTTAACTCTGTCCCAGTTGTCTACATAGTACCTATGAAAACCTATGGTGATAAATTAGTTAATATATAGGCTAACTCTTGTGCCATAATGTATAATGACTCACACAGAACAGAATCTTATTTTCTCATGGATATAGTCCCAGAAATTTCAGGGTCAGTATTTCTGTTAAGGATTCTTGCTCTACAAGATCATTCAGATATCGCATATGGAATCGTTAACACATTACATGGGCACACTGCAGAGAGGCTTAAAACTTTAGATTAATAATATGCCTCAGAAGTAAAGAAAATGAGTTCAATGAACATCTAGAAGTCTTCTGTATAAAAGAAACCGATTTAGGTGAAATTCATTCCTGATATAAATCTAGCAATAACATTTATATTATAGATAAATATCTGTTATCTTCCAAAGAGGTTATTAATGAGGTCACATATTTTCTAGCAGTTTTTAATCACATACCTCAATAAGTACCTCAATAAGTATGTTTTGAACATGCATATTCAAAATCCTTTAAAGATTAATAATTTGTAAATCTAAAATGTACTGCCATTTTAGTATACTAAATATGAGTGCTAATATTAATATACTGTTAGCACTTAAAATATAAATTCTTCAAAAAGAATATTACAAAGATTAAATAAATTATGTAATAAATAAGATCAAAATACTTTTTATTTACTATAAGTTTGAAACCGAACTTGCTCTCACTTAGAAATATAATTTGTATTTTGTAGCAGTTCCTCTATTATATCTTTTCCAATGCCAAATATAACTTCTTAGCTTTTATTGACACTGTGATTTTATAAAATTGTTATATTTTTATAAACTTGCTTGAATAATATTTTTCTAAATGATGCAATATAAAATTTTATGTAAATGTTTGGTATATTTAACTTTAGTATTATCTTTACCACAGCTCTCATTTGTCCAAAATGGAAATTCAGTTGAAAAAAGGTAAAACATTTTTTAAAATTTTTATTCTCTCTTTTTCTCACCTTTATCAGTTCACATACTTAAATGGTTAAAAAAATAGTCATTATGGATTCAGTATCACAAAGCTCATTGATTTATATCTTTGTTTACAATATTATGCTTTAAATATTCAAAATTCATTTGAAATTAATGTTAAGTAGAAAATGTTTGAAACTTTTGATGTTATTAAAGATCAATGGTTTTAGAATCTCTCAAAAACAAAAATTTTAGGGCCTCCCTGGTGGCACAGGGGTTAAAGACAGCACTATCAAGCTAATGCCAGCCTCTGCAGCACCCTGGCTGGCAAGGAAGCAACCCACATGGCGCAGCAGATCTCTCCTGTCTCACCCGCTGCTCCCCTCAGCAGTGTATTTCAGTCAATCTGCCTGTTCTGCTCCCCACTCTGTCTCTGGTGAATCCTTTCACCTTCTGCACCTCTGGCTTACACCCCAGTTCTTGTATGCATAAATTAATAAATCTTTAAAAAAATTTAAACAAACATTTTAAAATAAAGACCGGGTATAGTACACAAACCCACTCTTCCCCCTCCTACTCCACAACAGCAGTTACATAGCAGATAGCAAGGAATTGACCCATATTTTGAAATTATCATCATTCAAAGGTATGACCTCAACATATAAACCAACTTGCTGACTTATTTTTGCCTTTCACTTTCTGTTCAGTCACTTTATATGTATGTATATGCATGCACATAAATAACTGAGTTGATTGATTCATCCAATTAAATCTTATAGTTTTCACTAGTGAGTCTGTTTGATTAAATTATTACGAGAGATTCTCAGTCCTATTCATAAAGCAGTTGAGAAGCAGAAAGCCCAAATCGGATTTTTTAGTAGGGCATCAAATTCCCCACTGTCAATAAAAGTTAGGTTGCATTCCAACAAGAATAAATTGTCAATATTCCTTTCATTTATTGAATGGAATTATTGAGGATTCAACTTAAATGTACATGAGACAGTCATTGCTTAATTATATAGTTTATTGTATAAAATTTTGACTCTGATTGCCACACAAAAGAGGAAATACCTAGAAGTATTGTCTTCTTCATTATTACTTTTAATACTTATAAGTTACAGATCCATCAGCAAGAATTAGGCAACAAATGCAGTGATTAATGGCCAGAAGTTTTAAAAAGGCTAATTTCTTATACCTATTGAGGTTGTTTTATTTCTAATAGTATACTTTTTGGTTATCTTGAGAAAATGAGACATTGGTTTACTTGTTGGTTTGCAAACTTACTATGTCATAAAGGAATGAATTCCTTATAATCTATTTCTTTATATTATAAATATATATGGTCAGAATAATGTATTTTAAGAAGATATACTAATACCAATTAACTTCTTTGATGGCAACTTAATCAGCTATGAACTGTATAGAAACAGAAACAAATGAAGCATGATACTAATATTCACATTAAGAATAAGGTACAAAAGAGAGGTTAAGGTAGAATTTCATGTATTTCTATATTTTTTCTATGGTAGCATGGTGAAATAGGTTTTTAAAATGCTGGAAAACCATTCATTTATAACTGAAGAATATGAAATGATAACTTTTCATATTAATTGTTTTAATGGTGAACATTTAGTTTCTGTTGATGAATTTTAGAGCAAAATATCAGAAAGCAAAAAAAAATTGGATTTAGCAAAAGTAATTTAAAAACAATCTCCAGTATTTATGAGGACATAATAGTAAATTTTTATGAGTTTTGGGAAAAATATTGAATGGAGGTTATGATAGTATTACTATGAGTATTGCTCCTTCCAAACCCCATTCTACTAGACTGATAAGTCACAGGTAAGAGTGATAATGGAAAATGGAGTAATGGAAGAACAGAGGATTGAGGATGATAGGGAATATAGGACATCAAGGACAGAAAAAGATAACAGTGAATATCAAATAATTCCTCTTAACTGACCATTTTTTTCTAGGAATGTTGATATAATGTAGTAAAGTAGACAAGACGTACAAAAATAAGTAGAGTATAATGAAGAAGATGCATGTTGTGGACATCTTTTGTTGTAAGCTACTAAGAAGTTGCTGCATCAATTAGGAGGAAAAGATGTTTTTGGTTGACTTGAGAATAATATAGCATTTACGTTAGGAAAAACAATTGGGTTGGATTTTAACAGGGAATTTGAGGAAAAGGTGTTCCAGGTTGACTTTATAGTTGAAGCAATAACAAGGGTATTTATAATCTACACTTATTAGAAATATCACATTGACTGATGTGAACTTAAATTGAACAAGTGATGTGAAATACCGCTTACATACCTTTCTAGTCTTTTCCATTATTGTTTTCATTCTTAAGATCACTCCTTCAGCAGAAGCATAATGGTGTTAGGCAGCAGTCCTATATGGTTGCTGGAAAAAACAGAAGTGAGAAATATTAGATTATGGTTATAAATGCTTTGTATCAGTATGTAAGGCATTGTTCTTTAGATTGCCATATATTTTCTCTGTTGCTATAATAGGATCATTTGCCTGTGTATAACCAAGTGATCAATGATATCTCCTAGTAAAATAAAAAAAAAAATCCTTAAGGTATTTTGCTTTCTCTTTATAAGTACATGATAATATTAATAGTGAGAGTAGAGGTTTGTGTATACCTGTAGATGTATTTTTAAAAAAGCATCAATTTATATCATGCACTTGAACTGTTTTTACACTTCAATGGTAAAAATAGTCTTCTAAGATGTGTCTTCCAAATAGCTTCCAAAAGAGTGTTAGACTGTTCATAACCATCTTAAAATCAAATGCCTAATAAATCTATTAAGTCATCAAGAATGAGATGCTTCCTTCATTTAGGAATATATTTTATGTTTTCACTGTAATAAGAGTCAGTTTATCATAAAATTGTGTCTTTTATACTGTCTTATACTTTTATGCTCAGAATTGTCTGCCCTATTTCACCCACCTTTTTTCCCCCTGTAATCCAAACTGTGGTGGTTGAAATTCACACTAAACTAACTGGTGTAGATGGGTGGCAATAGTTATATTATAAAATTTGGATCTGTGAGATAATTCAAATTATTTTAGATATTTTACAATAAACTTTAGGCAAATTGTATTAACTGGACTAAGAGCTGCTTAAGCAAATCACCATCAAACTGTTGCATTTGATAGGGCCAGGAAAGTTTTTTAAAAATTCTATAAAAATGAATAGTTTGACCAATTAAATTGTCATATAAGCTGGAATGCCAGGCCAAGAAGCACAAATTGAGACTGTGCAGGCAAACCATGACATATGATCACCCTAGTTCTGGGACCCTAGAAGCAGATCTGTGCCAATGAACAGAAAATAAATTCCTCAGACCTTAAAGAAAACTAACCCATAGAGAGATACTTTCATTCTGAAATGAAATTATGAAAAAATGTGTCTAAAGGAAAACCTCAAAATCATCTTGTGCCCTACTTTGGTTGATTTTCCTATTGTGTGGTCAGTCATGATTTTGAGTAACTATTATGTTAAGTAATTTAACTTTTACTTAATTTAGTATATCCTTTTTAAATCCCAGAAGATATATTATCTTCAACTTGTGATCTCGTCTCAATTTCACATTTGGATACCATTAATTGTGTAATGATTAATTATAATTGCTTATTTAGTAGTCTTATAGTTTATGAAAATTATTCTTCAGTTACAAATAAAAAATGTTCTTTCTATATTCTAATATCCTATGTTTTATAATTCTAAAGCTCAGAGAAGAAAAGAGGTAGCTTTGCTGCTGTATCAGATATTTCACAGTTCCCCAAGTCTCAAGAGGGATCAGCTGTTTTAAAGGATTCACTTGAAGTTTCATCTGATGAAAATCGATCCCAAATACTTTCACCAAAGCACCGTAATAAATTAG